TTCTTCATTTTTTCCCCTGGTGAAAAGAGATCAGAACCAGGCCAGCTGAAATCTGCAGGAGATTTTACATTTTTCATGCACATGGTCAAATTCAAACCAGTTCCTTACCAGCAAGAAAATTCACCGGTCGATCTGGGTTCTGAGGGGGTTGGAGGACTCTGTAAATGGTGCTTTTTTGCTAGTGCTTCTGGAACAGGGTGAGTGAGACTTTAAAAATGAAGGTCTACAAAAATAATTCTCATTCAGACAATAATGTCCTATAATGGTAATATACAAAGCATTCCAAAAGTGTGCTTTATCAAGGATCCTAAGGTGAACAAAGCACCCTTCAAAGGGTTAAAGCCGTGACCTCTGGAAGACTCACCACAGCTGTTATGAAGACTTTCTCTGGCTATTAGCTTTTGTGTATGTATATGCACAGCTGCTTTGCTTCTTTGGATATATCTGTAGGTGTTCTAGAGAAATAGGTTGCTCCTGCTTTTATACTTGGCCAGAATGCTTTGTGAAATGCTCCTTTGAAGCTTTGCACACGGCCCTGTTGTATAACACTTCCTTGTAAGGATGTGGTCAAGTAGTTAGAGAAAAGGTTGGGGCGGGGAGAGTTCTTCTCTGTGGAGCCATTCTTGCTCTTATAATTTTGGATATTATTGTCTCTTGTTTTATATGCTATTCTGTTTAGTTGGCATGGTATGATGGGTGTGTGACTTCTTTTTCTTCTTCTATACTTCTGCCTAGAGCAGAGGTCCCCAACCTTTTGGGCACCAGGGACCCGTTACGTGGAGAGAGGTTTTTCCGTGGACCGGAGGGGGTGTGGTTTTGTGTGCTGCCTGCATCCTGTGGATGGGGCTTTCCTTGTTTATGCGGACCAGTTGCTGGCATGCCACGGCCCGGTACTGGTCCACGGCCCGGGGATTGGGGACCCCTGTCCTAGAGAGTATCTCAATTTATTTTTCTTTTAACACCAAAAAAGCTTGAGAAATTGTATTTAGATGATGCTATAGTATCAAGTAGGGAAACAGTATTATTTGAATATTTGTGTTTGCATAATACAATTTTATTATACAGAGTTAATTTTGCATAATGTATGGAAAATTATCTATTGGTCAAAATACGTATTCCAATCATGGTCCATATTACACCAAACAGTGTTTAGATCCAGAATGAATCATTGTTGTAAATCTGTATATTCATACGCAGCTCATAAAAATGTGTTTAATATTAAGCAATTAATATTAAGCAATTGCAGTTCTAGAGATTATAATTATGCAGTGCTTAAAAATGTACTAAATGCTATTGGCACAAATGGAAATTACTTATTAAAATGTGAAGATGTGGCTATTAAGCAGCAACAGAAGCATTAGAACAGGGGGTAAATACTTTACTTTACCAAAGAGATATTCCAAAATAATACAGGAGTTGATGCTGCACTATTGTTTATCTTGTGATGCTTGTATTGCTAAACCAAATCTGGTCTCTGATTTAGCAACAATTACTGTAAAACTAGGATGATACAGTTGCTGGTAAACTCTGCAACAGCAAAAACATGAAGAACTCATTAAAATAATTGCCTAGAAGTAGGCCTAAACATGAAGATAGAAAGGAAACTTCTCAAATATAAATATTTGATATTGCAATATCTCTTTCAAAATCAGTATAAAAATACAAGTGGTTTTCACATACATTTGCATCCAATTCCATTTAATAATAGATCACAGGCATCTTCAAACACAGCATGCAATCATAGGATGACTTGCTTCCATTCCTAAACTACTGAAAATCTCAGGAGAAATCTATCAAGATTTTGACCAAGATGTTTTTTCAGAAAAAATATTTTGAATGTAATTTAATTTATGACCATTTGGAGGGGGGAACAATAGACAACATAGCATTTGCAGGTACAGGATTGTACTTTCTACCCGACATGTGAGCTAGCTTTGCCCAGCCTGGCATCCATATTTGCTAGGATTCTAACATCCAGCATTCTCGGTGAGTGTGGACAAAAACTAGGAATAGTGGAAGTTGGACCCAGTGCCATTGTATGCCACCAGCTTGGAAAGGCTGATCTAAGTTTTAATATTATACCCCTATGTAGTTGAGAGAGCTACTGAATGTGTGGAAAGCAAATAGAAAGTTCTTTGTCTAGGATAATTTCACGTTCATCCAGAGAATACCTGGCCTGTTTTAATATTTGTACATCACGTTGCCAAGAGATTTGCATTGGAAGCCATATGGAAGAGAGGTATCTAGCATGTGTTTATTATATACAAGGCTAATTTAATTTATCTTGAGGTTTGTTATGGCTCAATGGAACCCATCATTCCAAAAACTTTAGCAAAGCAAATGAACAATTATCTTACTTGAAGGTATTTTAAGTTTAAGGTATTTTCTTTTGTTAGATTTATTGGAGTGATAGATTCCTTTTACCCAAGCAAATATGGCTCCTACCCTAGCCTGACTCCTTTCTAAAAGGTCAACCTGATGGAGACTTCTCTAAAACTAAAAAGTATATACAGCACTTTGCAATATTGTTTTCTCAATAAGTGATATGTTGTACTCAACGTAAAGAAATGCAAGCTTCAGAGGACTTTTTAAATTGAATATAGTTATATTTTTGTTTCTAAACAGTACAGCAAACCCCTGACTGATCTATCTGTATTCACCCAATGTTTCCTTTCTATTCATCCTTTTATTACTAAAATAAAACAGAAGAGCTCCAAATTAGGAAAAGATTTAGTATTGGCAGCTACTGTATATCAGGCCAGTTCTGTGGCTGGGGAATTCTGGGAGTTGAAATCTACACATCTCACAAGGTTGAGAAACACTGACCTAGAGGAACATATTTCCTATTAAGGAATAGCCAAACAACTCATCCATTCCTACAGATTTATGATAGTGAAGCAGTAAGATCCAGTTGCAAAGGAGATTGTGGCAATAAAACAAGATAGTTTTGATGTGCAAGTGCTTCAGTGAATCAAGCAGCAGGAAAGGCTTGTTGCAAACTTTTAGTATCTATCAGCTGTTAAAAGCTATTTTTTCTGTTTTTAAATACTGAAGAGGAATACTAACATATTCTGCTTTTCTTCTATTTTCTTTCCCCGAACATGGTTCCTTTGTTTTGTTTTAATCCATCACGTCCTCTTTCCTGCTTGAATGGCAGGGATTGATCCGTACTTGCTTCTGCTGTAGTACAGAGACTTTGGGGCACCTGATTGTAATTTCACAAAAGCTCACATATGCTCCCTAGTTGTATGTTATGATGTACATGGGTACAAACTGCTAAACATCTCTTCTTTATGGCTTTATGGGGACGGATCCTTCCTGAGTCAAATTCTAAAAGTGGTTCCAGCTGTTGAACAGCTGCAAGTAATCTGCCCTTTTCTCAGAGACATTTGAAGTTCTTTAATCAGTGTTTGTTGTTGTTGTCAGCAATAGTGCCGAGGTGTGGAAAGATGGAGCAGATGGACTTGGGGGGTGCATATTTAACTTTAGGCTGACCTCTCTTATCTTGCATTTGCTCTCTTCCCAGGTCAAAGGAGGCTGGGATTAGTCTGGAAAGTGGCCATAATCATGCACCTGTGTAAATGCATGTTGAAAAGGAAGGGATTTAAGGGCAACTGTTATCTTGGAAGGTTTCCCAAAGAGTTCCTCTCCTCTAATTGCCACCCAAGGACTCTGGGGCACTTTGAATAGAAAGTGAACAATTGTAAAATCTGGTATTAGGGTTATTATCTAGCAAGACATATTCAGTTACAGTAACCCTATGTGAAGGCACTGGCAAGCATGTTATTTTTCTGGTGTCAAAACATCTCTTTGCTCTGGCTTCTATGGTTTAAAAAACTAATTTGAAATGATAAGCAGGCTTCTTATATCCCAATTTATACCCCATATACTCACCAGAGAAGGGCCTAATGCTGGGAAAGATTGAGGACAATAGAAGAAGGGGACGACAGAGAATGAGGTGGCTGGATGGAGTCACTGAAGCAGTAGGTGTGAGCTTAAATGGACTCCAGAAGATGGTAGAGGACAGGAAGGCCTGGAAGAATGTTGTCCATGGGGTCGCGATGGGTCGGACACGACTTCGCAACTAACAACAACAACAATACTAAATTGGAGCATTCATGAAATTTGCAGTTTTTGGATTCCTATAATGGCTATTCTTGAACTTAGGCTGACTACAGGCCAACATAAGACAGATTTTCTTTTACGTATACTTCTCCTTGCCTCATAACATACAGAAAGGATTAAAGTTACCATGTTTGAAATTTTAACATTAAAATATGAACCTCATCTGTTCAGTTTTGCCATTTGACAGTTTCCTCCATTGTTTGGTTGTATCACTCCTTTCTCCTTTCTTGTTATGATTGTCCAATACTGAAATATGTCAGCAGGTTGTTGCAGAACTGCAACTTTTTTATTTAATAAAAGAAGAGAGAAGAAAAATCTAGAGAGGCAACAACACTGCTTAGCAACAGCAATCCAGGCAGTCTCACTTGGCAGTTGTAACCTGAAGACTACCTTTACAAATCTTCTAAAAGCACCAGGAAGGAGAAAATCACAATAAATTAAAATGTTCAGAATTTGATACCAGAAGGCATCTATTAATGATACAATTCAAGATTTGAAATACTAAGAGCCACATCTTTTATTGGCAATTTCATTTTTTCAGTTATATTCAGAACTGAAGAACTGTGCAGAAATGTACAAAACAGTAAAGCAGGGGTCTTCAAACTTGGCCCTTTTATGACTTGTGGACTTCAACTCCCAGAATTCTTCAGCCAGTGTGCCTGGCTGAGGAATTCTGGGAGTTGAAGTCCACAAGTCATAAAAGGGCCAAGTTTGAAGACCCCTGCAGTAAAGCATTTTAAACAGGTCATTGTTCCCTCTATACATCCTCAAGAATCCTTTTGAAATCAAATCCAAAATATTGCACAGTTCTATCATAATCTGTAGATTATTTTTAAAATTTAACATTTTCCCCCCACCTGTTCTGCTGTCTTTAGTTTTTAATAAGCGACCACGACCAAGATCCTCAGTGTAACCTTCAGTGCTCCAGATCTGCTGTCAAGCCTCTCTGCGCTTCCGATGGCAGGACCTATGAATCAATGTGTGATTATCAGAGAGCAAAGTGCAAGGATTCCAGTCTGAATGTGGCACATCGAGGCAGGTGTAAAGGTAAGGAATTAAAAAAGGCGCTTCTCTCCATCTGGGATGGAAATATTGGACGTGCTTTTTTCATAGCTCAATTTGATGCTGTTTAAGCTAGATACACAGATTGGAAATATATGTTTGCCTAAAAAGAATTACCGGTATTCAGACATCTTTGGCAAATAAAAGGGCCTAGAGAGGAGGCTGGGTATGTTAACAGAGAGTAAAAGATTAAAATAATGATCGGCAGAATATGAGGCTTTTTTTTTTTAGGGCTGCAAGCTAATGGGCCACAGAAACAACTCTCATTTTCAGATCAAATTAACGATGTAAGATCAGAGCATCATGATCAGAGCATCATAACAAACATTGGGAATTGAGATGCCGTTCTTAATCTTATTTGTGAAAAGGATTCCACAGTCTTCTAACTGGTAGAATTTGTCATGTGTTATTTTCTGGAAAAGTTAAGTTTGAGCGGTGAAGGACACCTGAATAGCTTAGAACAGTGGTTGTCAGCCTTTTCTTCACCGTGGACCTCCTTTAAATGTCTTTTATGGCCACGGATCCCCAAGGCTTAACTCAAAATTTAAATCATAACATTTCTTCAAGCCTTTGCACACACACACACACACACACACACCCCGTGACAACATCACAGCCCCCCAGGAGTCTGCAGATCACAGGTGGAGAACCACCGGCTTAGAATATTGTAAGCCATATATGCATTCATGTCTCAGGAAGGGGTTAGATATTAAATATATTTGTGTGAAATTGCCTGTAGATTCTACTAGTTTTGGACAATTATATTCTCTTTTCACATGATCATCTTTGAACTTCAAATCCACTATCCCTGGCTAACTGGATTCCACATGCGCATTTACCCTTTGACTCCTTTTTTTGGGTGAAGATAGTTCTACTATTTTATGACTTGCACATAGGACAGTGTACACGGTGCTCTTAACAATGCACTGAATGGGGGAAAAAATAAGGTGCTTCTAATATGCAGGTGGTTATATATAGAAATCTACTTACATAAACGAGGCATATTTTGAGACTTCTGCTCCCTTCTTAAATTGTCACTTAACTCAGGGTAGCAATCTGGCTGGAAGGAGTGTCTTGATATGCCACTGTCAGGGGTAGCTGATTTCTCTCCCGCTAGGATTTTTATCTGTTTTTAGTAGTGTGATGTCATAAATGTTGGAAACATTTTGACAGATCTGCATTTCCAACTAATTTGGATCCTTCCTACTGTAAGGGGGAATAATTGCTTAACCATCAGAACTAGAAGGACAGGAAAATTTGAAGTAGTCTTCTATTTTTATTTTATTTATTTATTTATTTATTTATTGTTTATATTTATATCCCGCCCTTCTCCTTACGGACTCAGGGCGGCTAACAACCAGATAAAAATACAAAATATCAAAACTAAAGATTAAAACATAATTAAAAAACAAATATTCATAATTGGTCTAAATAATTTAAAATTATGTTAAAACCCCCACTAAAAATTTTCCCCTAGGCCAGTCCTGCTAGCTGGAATAGCCATGTCTTAAGGGCGCGGCGGAAGGAAGGGAGATCAGGGATCACCCTGATCTCTGGGGGTAGTTCATTCCAGAGGGTGGGAGCTCCCACAGAGAAGGCCCTCCCCCTTGGGGTCGCCAGCCGGCACTGTCTGGCCGACGGCACCCTGAGGAGACCCACTCTGTGGGAGCGTACAGGCCGATGGGAGG